CAGTCAGGCATGCCAACTCCCGAAAGTGGTATACGTAGCCATCAATATTACAGTGGTTGTATATAATCCCAGAGAACCGACAAATGTTTCTGGAAAAAAGTTTGGTAACTCGTAATAAAGAATAATAAAAGTATTCTGTCTCAGTGCACAGATATAAAAGTAAATTAACACGATATGGGGGCTTAGTAAATCTACAAAAGAAAAAGAAATCAGCATTCTTGAGAAGTATTTCATTATACTCAATTTTTCCCCTTTTCTAAATGTAAGATGTAAAAAATGATGTACGATATAAGACAGTTGGAAATTTTACAAGCAGCAATACCCAAGAGTTCATGTGTATTTGCTTATTATCTTAATTTATGGACGTGTTAATTTTAATGTACGCAACAATCATTTTACGCTGTTACATATTGTGAGTGGTAGAATAAATAAATGAAAACAGTACTTTGAAACTAAAGCTGTATTATTCTCCACATGCCTGACCTAGAACAATCCGTCACAAAAATGATACATACTCAAGCTTTTGTAGAATATTTATTCGCTTTCCTCTTCCTTCGATGTAATTATAAGTCACTTTCCGAAGAACATACTCGCTGTGTGAAGATTTTCTTACAAGATCCAACTTTGAGATTTTCTAGGAGGAACGAAAAACTTCATATACGTGCATAGTAATGGATTTATAATTTTCTCCGTCTTGTATCTTTCGATCTGTTTTTCATTTGTTGAAAGGAAATATCCCTGCAGATGGGCCAGTTGTGGGGAATAAGTTGATAAAATATTTCAAAATATGAAATTGCAGGCTTGTTTGGTTTTTGTAAGAAACTGTTCATGCTTTTATGTTTGGTTGTTGCTGTTAGTTGCCAAAACGTGCTGCTGTCAAAACACTGATGTAAGTCAAAAAGTTAACAACTGTTTTGCAAAGATAATTAATTTTATCCTCTTTTTTATGAGACTTTTAAAGAATTATATGTTAGAGATTTTCAAATATTATTTTTTGTTCTAAATGATTTGTAATTTATATGTTTGTGCCTTCTCAGAAGAAAAATTCAAGAGTATTTATTCTTACAGAAAGTAGAGTACGGAGAGATAGATTGGTTTATTGAATGAGTAATCATTTTGATAGTCATTTTTGAGGGCAGAAAAAGAGGAAGACTTGCATCAATATGCTTTCTCTTTACTTTCGCAGGTGATATCAGAGTTTGACTTTGACACTGTTTAAATTATTTTCTTCAATGAAGATTATTATGATGATTTTCCAGAAGTGGAAAGTTGGATCTACCTGAACCAGAGACATTTACAGAATGACCTATTAAGTAAACAAAATTATTATTTCAATTTTTAATTAAAAATGTTCCCCCGTAGCGGTTGTTCGCCCCCATAGTGGTTATTCGCCCCCATAGTGGTTGTTCGCCCCCAAGGAAGGTTGTTCTCCCCCATACTGGTTATTATCCCTCATACTGGTTGTTCTCCTTCATACTGGTTGTTCTCCCCCATACTGGTTGTTCTTCCCCATACTGGTTGTTCTCCCCCCTAGTGGTTGTTATCCCCATAGTGGTTGTTATCCCCATAGTGGTTGTTAGCCCCATAGTGGTTCTTAGCCCCATAGTGGTTCTTAGCCCCATAGTGGTTGTTAGCCCCATAGTGGTTGTTCACCCCATAGTGATTGTTCGTCTCCGCAGTGTTTGCCGCCTGCGCTATACGTAGTCAAGTCGACGTGTAGCGGAGAGTGACCTTCAGAATAGTCCGAGCGCTGAAAGACGCGCCCTCCGTTTTCGTAAGGAAACCTGCGGTAGCCATCTGTTTCCGCCGCCGCTGGGTACTTTATAGGCGGCGTCGGGGCACTCGCCGCGGGAATGCGTCGACCGGGAAACGCAATAAGCGGCGATCTGCGGGCGGGATATATGGGCACGCGGACAGAGCACACGGGCAGGCGGAATGGAGAGAAGGTGCGCGCGCGCGCACGTGTGTGTGTGTGTGTGAGAGAGAGAGAGAGAGAGAGAGGGAGAGATAAAAAGAAAGAAAGATAGGGAGAGGGAGAGATAAAAAGAAAGAAAGATAGGGAGAGGGAGAGAAGGAGAGAGAGAGAAGGAGAGGGAGAGAAGGAGAGGGAGAGAAGGAGAGGGAGAGAAGGAGAGGGAGAGAAGGAGAGGGAGAGACAAGAGAGAGACATAGAGAGACAGAGAGAGACAGGAAGAGAGACAGAGACAGAGAGAGACAGAGACAGAGAGAGACAGAGACAGAGACAGAGAGAGACAGAGACAGAGAGAGACAGAGGCAGAGAGAGACAGAGGAGAACAGGAAGTCTAGCGAGACAGCAGGCGAGGATAAAATACGATTATTCCTTATTATCAGCTTCAGTCTCTACCATTTTCACACAGAACTTTCTGTGATAAATGGTTTGTACGAATGTGACGTGATAATGAGTGATTTGGTTCCTAAACGACCAATGAAATATACGAGAAAGAGACAGAAATCGTTTCCAAGCTACTATCACCCACTTTGCGCATTTACGGTCAAAAGTAAGAAAAAATCAAGATATATTTTGTGATGGAAAATCCCTTATATTATCACTTAGCGTGTTGCTAAAGTATTGTTAGGTTTAGTTTACGACGTACTTTCAAATTCGGGAGAATGACAAGACACACAATGCTGCGAGTTGGTATTTTTAAGTTTTTCCGCATTCGTAACCTTTGAGGCACATGCCATGGATTAAGAACACATTAATGGCCTGATAAATATGAAATAATGATGTGTTAATAGTGTAATGGCAGGTAGGGAGAATGGAAGAATACAGATATCCTACCGCAAATTTCTTTATCCACCATAAATTCCTCAATGACCCACGCGCATTCGAATCGAGCAACCAGACACGGAATATTATTGTGCTGACTCTACCAACGTGTCACCAATTCATGAGCAACGGCGGTCGTTTATTCTTATTTTGAACTTTAGCCCCATGTCTACAGAGAATGATGTTTGCTTGCGTGATGTTTCCGGACTCGTCCAATATTATGGTATTTAGTTCTTTTAGAGTAGTGAATATTTATCCCAAGAGGTGCTGGTGATCCCTTTCCCGCTGCATACTGATAACCGGCGACGACCTATTCTTTGACTTTCAGTGAATTTCTTCTTTCGATATCTCTCCCGCTAGCACCATCGTAGTCGGGTCAATCTTTTCGCTTCCATGTAGTCTCATAGCATAGTAGTGTGGCGCATATTGTTTGCGTATGTGTATGTGTGTGTATGTACGAGAGAAAATTGGACGAGGAAGAGGAAGAAAAGATTGCGCGTTTATCAGAGTACACATGTATCAACAGTATCGCATGTATCAAATGTATCACATGTGTCGACAGGTAATTGACCCCAGAACCACTAGATAGAGGGTAACAATCAGACCACCACACCATGAGTTATTCGAAGAATAAGGAGCTCCAAGCATTCAAAAACCCTCTGCAGGCAAAGTCATGCATTTGCCCTCAGTCTCACGTGTCTGATATTCGGAGCACTGCTATCTTCGAATATCACAAACTGCTTACTTACTGAATACATAAATTACGCTTTCTGTCACAACCTTCTAAAAATTCGCGTTTTTCTCATACAAATCCAACCTGTATCGACCAGGATTTGAACTCAATTTCCAAAGGTACCAACAATAGTGGCTTGAACCTGCCTGACCACGACTAAGATTTGCAGAAAGAGCACTGCCATGGATGGGTTCGTTTTCTATTAGAGCATCGTAGTCTCCCGATGGACGGCATCGTCACTTGACCCAATTCACAAATTGCAATTTCTGAAAATCTGCCGCAAACCACGTTCACAAAATTGCATTATGGGTTCGACTGTGATCCGAAGCCCGGTGCCCAAGAGTGGACAACAAGGAAGTTGAATCACACGCTACACAACACCTACGTCTAAGCGTAGGGGCCGCTGATTCTTAATTATGGACCTCAGTCTCTATCCGGGGATAAAAAGGTGATATGATGTAAAACATAAGCTAATGGTGGATTGATAGACGATATTATCCCCTAGTCTCTAGTGCAGAAGACAAAATAAGATGACATGATCTCATAATATGTACATTTATTTACACGTCATCTACATTGGTTGGAGTACAGAGCAGTTGAGTCACTGTATGGAGGAGAATTCTAGCGGTCGACTGCTCTGATCGGTAGTCTACGTTGCCTCCAAACAATGTTAGGCGAATGCCGGAGTAACACCCTAACAAACAGGTCACGTACAGCAGGCAATCTTTCCTTCCTCTTTCGTAATCTATCCTTACACCTACACTAACATGTACTACACTAGCCCACATGCCGGGAGATTGCTGGGAACTTAGAGCTTCTCCCGGCTGGGACGGTGCCCCATTGGTGGGAGATATTTGGTCGTGGAAAAACTTACTGGCCGACGCTAAGTTGGCGCCGAATCTCGCCGTTTCCTGCAACTAAACATTGGAGATATTTTGAGGCAAATGGCTTTAGCAATTGACGTGTCCGGAATCACTAATCGATTAAAAAAACAAGGAAGTCGCCTAAGAATGGAACATGGAGAAACTTATCGAGAACTTCTTTGCCCACCAGAAACCCTACATCGAATCGCCCAGCATTTCGAACCCGGTGTCCACAGGTGAAGCAATAGCATGCGTCCTCCCACGCAACCCGCCTTGCTCCGTCGAGCCTTCGTTCTGCAGCCACACGCGAGCTTTATTCACTCTCCACACCTGCACTCCGGGCGGCGCCCCTCGCTGCTTCCGCCATCCCCCGCGCGCAGCGCTGCGGTCGCCACGGCGCGCGCGAACCTACTACTACGGCCGTTGTCACGGCCGCCAACAAATTGCCAACACAACGCGGGCAGCGTGCCTGGCGGCGTGAATAGATTTCCATGCATAATGCCGCCAGCCGCCGTCGCTTTACAAGTCAAATGCTAGCGTCGCCCTGAGGGTCCACTGGCCAGCGCTGCCGTCGCCTTCCCACCCCGCCGCGGGTGACGTCAGCGACGACGCGCTAATTGCCGGGACCGCCACCAGGAGCGTGGTAGGCTCGTGCAAGGGGAGGACTGGGCGTTGAGGTGGTGATAATAGCAGAGTTGGGCTTCCGATTGGAAAGGGTCAACACCTTTGACTTATTTTGGTTCCAGTGACAAATATAGTATAAGAAATTCTAGATACTAAAAAAATGAAATACTCCCAGAATTAAAGCGTCGAAGAATCGAAAAATTGTTGATTTCAATGTTCGAATAAACAAGATACGATTTGATAAAATTAACTCTCTTCAAATTATCAAGCAGTCGAGGTTAATATACATTTATTACAGTAGTTTAATAAACAATCATTTTCACTGATAATAGCAGAGTTGGGCTTCTGATTGGAAAGGGTCAACACCTTTGACTTATTTTGGTTCCAGTGACAAATATAATATATGAAATTCTAGATACTAAAAAATGAAATACTCCCAGAATGAAAACATCAAAGTATCGAAAAATTGTTGATTTCAAAGTTCGAATAAACAAGATACGATATGATAAAATTAACTTTCTTTAAATTATCAAGCAGTCGAGGTTAATATACATTTATTACAGTAGTTTAATAAACAATCATTTTCACTGAATAGCGTTCGTTGAGGTTATAACAACGCAGATAACACATGAATGATATGCGCGTGTATTGCATCTTTTTCAGAACAGTTCTTTCTCGCCACTCAGGCAACGTGATAATTGTCCTGACCGTGGCCAGAGGCGTTGTAGGTTCGTGCAAGACGAGGACTGGGCGTTGAGGTGGTGATAATAAGAGAAGCTCTTCTCTTTAAAAAGGGTCAACACTTAAGGCTTATTTCGATTTCAGGTATGAATTTAACGAAAGTAAATTCCAGATCCTAAAAAGATAAATTCTATCAATCAAAAAAATCTTTAAAACATCGACATATCGAATAATTGATACCGGATTTCGAATAAACAATGTTTGATTTTACGATATTAATTTAAGTTCGAGTTATACGTGATCGGATATGGTTGTTACACCACTTTGTTAAACAATCTTTCTTAAAGTGATTGTCGTAATGACTGCAACATTTATTGAGGTTATTTTAATACATACAGTAATTAAATTACAGACGCTAATATCGCATCTTTTCAGAAAAAAATATTTGTTCTGTCACTGCGATAATTGTCGGTATCGCCACGTGGAGCGCAGTCAAATCGTGCAAGAGCAGATCTAGGCGTTGAGGTGGTGATGATAACATACTTCGCAGATGAGCTTGTCGTTGGCGAGGGTCAGAACCTCAGGTATAAGTCGGTTCATCCTAGGAATAAGAAAATGAAGATCTAAATTTTTAAGAAGATAAATATCAAAAATAAGTTATATAAATCAAAACATCTAAGAATTTATACTACCGAGGTTCGCGTTTTCGTGAACTAGTGTTATTAGGAATCAAGTTATCGAGATTTGAGTCTCAAGGACTTGTATTAAGTGACATTGCCAATGCTGTCTAGTATGTCGAAACTGTGATTAATGATGGTTACAAAGTGCCAACAGTTAATGGAGAAATAAAAAAAAGTTGTCAATGTTTTAAAATATTATAATACTTCAGCCATAAATCTGTTAGAAAATATTTTGGGAATAAGAAGTCTTAAGAAATTCTGGACTTGCCAAACAGATTCTGACATGAAATAATAATAATAATAATAATAATAATAATAATAATAATAATAATAATAATAATAATAATAATGATTGATTTTACAAATGAGTATAGGCGCGGTGATAGTTAATCAATAAAAAGTACAAAAATAATAATAAAAAGAAACAATTCATAAAATATAAAAAAACTAAGACATTAACAAACAAAAATAAAGTAAAAGCACAAATATACTAGTACTAAAAATAGATAAAACTATAATACACAAAAATATGAAAGAATACCAGTAAATTAACAAAAATAAAATAAAAAACAAATAGACAAATGTAAAAATTTATTAAAAAAATAGATTAAAAGTGCCCATAACTACTCCGTAATTCGATTTTTCTAGTGGGCGATGATTAAATCATTGTTACACATCCTGCCTTATAAAATGAATCTCTCTAACTGTGGTAAGCACATTTCTGAAGCCACGAGCCCCGTTGAGAAGGACGTTTGCGAATTAATTGAATAGGTGAAAACAGAACGATATAAGTGACATTTCACAAGTTCTGAGAATTCTGTTTAAGTCAATAATACTGTAAAGTCATGGTGATTAGTTTGATAATTAAAACTACGAAAATACATTGCCACTGAAATATAACCTAAAATAAACAAAACAAGTGAGAGCGTAGGCTTCCGCGGCCGGAGTCAGTATTTAATTGGCTGTCCGGGTGACGCCGCGTTCATGTGAAAGGTGCCGACGTTTCGGTCGCCAGTCTGCGACCTTGCTCAGGGCGGTATGCCCTGAGGGCCCCGGACAGCCAATAATACTAAAATAAACCAGTTTTTCTCAGAATTTATGAAATGTCACTTATACCGTTCTGTTTTTCACCCATTCAATTAAAAACAAGCATTTAATAAGGCAAGAGGTGTAACAATAATCTGAAGTCAACGGTCACTTTAAAAAAAAATCGAAGTGTAGCCACCTCTTTACTTTACTTCGGGAAGGCCAGAAGCTACCGTCGGCTCGCCCGCGCCCCCGCCCCTTCACCCATCGCTCGTGCCCACGTGACACCTCCGAGACGCCTCGCTAAGTGCCGGTTCCGCCACGATGGGCGCGGCAGTCGGCCTCAAGATGACGGAAGGGCGTTGGCCCGCTGAGGTGCTGATAATAACGCAGGGCTTCTGATTGTAGTGGGTCAGTATCCCCCTGGGCCTATTACGATGAAAGCCTAGAACCTAATTAAATAAATTACATATTTCAGGAGAAAATTATGCAGAAGGCGGAAAAAGAATTACAACGAATGAATATTATTCCAATACAAATTGTCACGACACGAAATGTAGTACTCGAGTAAACAATTTTTTTCCTAAAGACAATCGCTATGATGTTAAGCATATGAAAAAAATTAATTGAATATATAATTTTCGATATTGTTAATATCTATTGCAATTAATTCATTAATAATAAAAAATGCAATGTTATCAAATGGACAAATTTAGTGATATCAAGGAATTAGATACATAGAGTTTCGATTCATGAAGGTTTCCAGTTATCAGCTACAATTTAATGTTAAATGTTAATAGTATGAATATTGTGTTGTGTTCAATGTTTAAAGAGAAAATCAAAAATGTTTCTCATCACTTCTACGTTCATTATTCAAATCATCTTTATATCTTGATATACTACTAGGCGAAATGAAAGATAACATAATGGGCATTGTTAGTCATCGCATCAAAACGCTTTCAAAAGAAATTAATGCTTTAGATAAGTGCGTCGAGAAAATTTGTATAATGAACGAAGCACTGAACGCGACTAAAATGTTGTATCATTAAGTTTCTATACTTTATTTTTATTGGAAAATGTAGAATTAAATCTGGAATGTTAAAGGCCGTTACGCTGAGTGGTAAGAGTGTGAATAGTCAATGATCATCCGACTGCCTCTGGCAGTTCTAGCTAGAGCGGCCCGTCTGCTTGCTGCGGGGAGCATCAATTTCATTGATTGAATCGAAATAACCCTAGCGGTGCCCGGCTCGCCGTCTAATCCTAAGCCACAGCCTACATGACGCCACGTGTAATTATCACCACCTCGATACCTCGCGAACCAGGAGAGGTGGCTCAGGGCATCAGCTGATGTCACTGCAGTGCCTCTGACCGGGAGGTCCTAGGGTTACACTCCCCACGGTGGCAGCATTTTCCACACCACCTACACAGCTAGGTTACGAGCGAAGTTACTGGGAGAGGTGGCTCAGGGCATCAACCGATGTCACTGCAGTGCCTCTGACCGCGAGGTTGTCGGTTCGCGTCCCGTTAGGGACAAGATTTTCGGCACAGGCTTGTCAGCTCGGTGGAATAGAGTAGCTGTCTAAAGGAAAAATCTACCGGCCGACTGCTCTGATTGGTAGTTTTCCGTTTATCTGATCACCACCAGGCGAATGCGGGGAAAGGATCCTAACAAACGAGACACGGGCAGCGCGTGACCTTTCCTTTCTCTTCCTTCTCCTTTCTTATTTATCCACACGTTTCATTTGCACTACACTACCCCACATACCGTGGGACCGGTCGGGAGCTTAGAGCTTGTCCCGGCTGGGGCAGTGCCCTTACGAAGGGAGATACCTGATTGAGGAAACCCTCCTAGCCGAACGCAGATCGGCGCCGGATCTCGCCATCCAGTAGGGGAAGATCACACCACCTCCCCCGAGAAAAAAGCATGCACTTAACTTACAGAACCAACTGGCGGCGGTGATGGTGTAACGGTTAGCGTACTGGACTGTTGTACCCAAGTTGGCGGGTTCAAACCCGATCGAAGATTTTTAAGGGCGAAAAAATCCTTCATACGCCTTCCTTCGGAGGGGAAGTAAAGCCGGCTGTCCCATGTTCGTAGATTTACTTGCATGTAAAAGATCCTTAAGCCTAAATGACACCTCTGAGCTAAATTCAAATCGCCTGTTTCTCGCCCAAGATACACCTCCTTTCTCCGCTAGTTGGTGAAAGGAGCGTAGCGAAATTTGCGTGGTCAGACGGAAGAGCAGGTCTAATGGCCTGAGTCTCGCCACGTAAAATAAGGCATTCAATTCAATTCAAATTCAATTCAATAATCTCCTCAGTGATTGACGCGCCCGAAATTACTAAGAACCAACCAACACTCGCTGCTTCGTATATCTTTCGTCAACACTCTACTCACACGCGTAGAACATATCACTGGTTCAGGCAATCGGCGAAGTTTCGATGACATCACCCGCAAGTTTCTTTCCCTACAAGAATCGCCATTTTTTATTTTGCCGTCGTTTTCTGCTTTGTTTTTCGTAATGCCGTGACTGGAAATATATTAATTGATCCACTTCCTATACGGAGTGGTAATGGTGATTTCTTATTTAGCTTCTGTCAACAAATTTTTGAACAAGCTATATTGACTAGTGGTTTTACTACAGAACATACTTTTCCGCATTATTTATAACTTTTGAAATTTTCTAAAATTCACAAATTTTAACGAAAATTATTCATGCATTATTTTTTAGCGTTATTTGCAATATCGGATGATAAAATGTAAACATTATATTGTTTCACATATAGTAAAACTTCATATATTGAGGGATTCTCGCAGAAAGAACTTTCAAATGAAATACATAAAAAAACAAATAGTGAATAAAATAAGCCTTATAATTAAAACCTAATTAAAATGTATAGGTATGTGAAATATTTAGAAAATCATTTGTATAAGTTAAATGATCACTTTTCAAATAGTGGGAATATATAGCAATTTTTCTCTAGTGTCACTAGTTATTATTCAACAACTCTTATATTTTTTTGAAGAAGCATGACATCATTTACTGGTCCAAAATTGAGGGATAAATTGAGTCGAGAAAATAATACTCGCCTTTAAAATCGGTTTAGCACAGATTCTAAAATAAATTCTTAAAAAGTTTTAATTCCAGAGATACTGTACCGTTTTGTAAATGTTTTTCTCCTAATTCAGCAACGAAACAAAGAACTCATGCATCTATTTTCCACAAAACGTTTAATATACCACAAAATGCTTTCTTGTAAAGTATCCCCTTCTCTCCAAAAAATAAAATATCTTAATGATCCACAGCACGGCACAACTAGATCTTACTTTTACCAATATTCATCTCAAAAACGACTATTATCAAAGTTATGATTGACACATTCACCCAACTAATCCATCCAATTTGAATACACCTGACGTGTGTGCAATTGATTAAATAAATGAGTACTGATTCTGGACGAGCACTTTTTTTTTCTCGGGAGGTGGGGGCCATCTTTAACCGCTCAATGGGGAGATCTGGCGCGGACCTACTCGTAGGCTAGCGGGGTTTTCCCCAACCAGGTACCTCCCACCAGCGGGGCACCGCCCCAGCCGAGACAAGCTCTAAGCTCCCGAGTCGTCTCTTAGCATGTGTGTTAGTGTAGTGCATGAAAGTGTAAGTGTGCGTAAGTAATGAATGAGGATAGGAAAGATCGCGCGCGGTCTGTGGTCCGCGTGTTAGGGCACCGCTTCGGCGTTCGCCTAGTGTTGACCGGATAAACCACGAAAAACTACCGATCAGAGTTGTTAGAACACTCCAGAGAGATGCTTAATTCGACCTAGCTATGTAGAGAGTGCAAAAAATCCTGGGGGCTATCGTCGGGTCTCGATCATAAGGACTCCCGGTCAGAGGCACTGTAGTTCATGCCCTGCGCCACCTCCACCGGTGCGTGTGCTCAAAAGAACTTTAAAGGCGGAATTTAAATCGAAAACTTTATCGTTCAGTTGTGATGATTTTAAAGACGTAATGCTTAAAGCTTACTCCTGGAAGATTAATATTTAGATTTATTCAGTAAAAAAAAGATGAGTTAAAGTTTACCAAAAATAAATTTTAAAAATCGCAAGATTAGCAATATTTGAAAAATAGTCATTTTTGTTCCTTAGTTATAGAAAACTTATTTGCATCGGTACACTAATTGCAAGTATGATTTTTCTGCATTGCTAACAAAATATCATCTCGCTCTTACCTCTACTCTTACCATTACAAGCAAAAGGAGAGTTCAACAAAACATGCGCATAGTGAAGCTAGCTCGGTACCCTGCTGGTGGGAGATACCTGGTTGAAAAAAACAGCAAACTAACTTATAGGTTGACACCTATCTCACGATCCAGCAGATCACCTCCATTTCTCGTGATAAAAACATACACTACATTTACGGGGCTAATGGTCGTAACAGCTTTACAAACAACGAAATTATGGGTGACTGAAAGCGTGAGAAACCGCCACTGCCCGCCGACGTCCAAAGCAACCGCTCTCTCGAAACCCGTTGAATGAGCCCGTGCGTTATTTGAGTAGCCCTCCAGCAGCCTGTGTTTAGCTCGCTGCCTAGGCGTGGCGCCCCACAATGCGATGGACGGCGGCGGCGGCGGCGGCGGCGGCGGAGGCGTCAGGCGTCAACAGTAGGCGGGCGCCGGCGCCCTGGGTGACGTCAGCGGCGCTAATCGCTGACGCGGCCGCCAGGGGCGCGGCGGCAGCACCTCTTCTCGCCTTCGCTTGTTTGTTTTTCGTGTCATTCTCGCGCTGCGAGTAACACGCAACAAGATAAATTGTTGGATACACAAACGTACTACGCCTATAGGGATTACGGAAGTACGTCGAGTCGTTTTTAGTGAATGAAGAGTCGAGTCGTTCTGTGTCGCTGGCAGAATGAGAAAATTCACCGTTGGGTTTTTGCATTGAAATTGGTCTCAGAATGAAAACTGCGGGAGAAAATAAACCGCTGAAAGTGGGATTAATAGTATTATGCCAACGCGGAAATCAACTACGTATGCCAGCCCATTTTTCTTTATCCTTGTTTAAGTAATACTTTACTGTTTTATTAGGACATTAATTAATAAAATCTTTCTGAACCCGTAAGTAATAGTTTCGACTTTCATCGGTTATCGGATGTTCAGAAAACAATCAGATTGCGTAATCGCTTCGTAGATATTCTGGCGTTTTCTTAAGGCCAGACACGTCCATAAGCATGGTAAAATATTATTCTAGGAATTTTCAATGAATATAACAGTTGTGCTTCCAATGTCACTTAACCATGTTGAACTAATTCTTTAAATAACGTCGTGGACATCTTTCTCTTCGCGGAAAGGGACACCAGTGGAGAAAATCGTCAAAATATGCACACCCTTAAAATTTCTCAAAATCTGAAAATATTTTAACACAAACTTGCAAAACCTGGTTGTCATATATTGCTAAATACATGTACTGCTACTTCTTATTAAACGTGCACATGAAATTTCCCTTTATTTTGCAACTTATTCTGGAGTTCAACATTGACCCTATCCATTGGTGTGGTCGAGGTTCCAAAATGTCATTGGTATTCGTATGTTAATATGATTGTATCGTGTCTGTTTTTCCTTACTTGATCGCGATGAGATAACACATGCGATGAATTTTTGGAAGTGGCAATGTACAATCAATTGAGATATAATTGAAGTGTTTAAATTGGTCCTTAGTAAGTGAAAAGTTGATTGTGATGGTATTAAATTGGTTATGAAATCGAAATTTATCTCTGGTTATCATTTCCAAACTATCCTGAAACATTTGTGGGTAAAAGAAAGTATAAAATTGTGATTTCATGCTTTTAGTTTCCCTTACAAGATACACGCTTTTAGTTTTTATAAGGTACATAATCGTGCAACAGCTTTCCGGTTACCGGAAGAATTTCTAGCAATTCTTAGTAAATGACAACCTTTTTTGATTGATTCATTCCAGGAGCATCAACTGCTAAGGTCACTATTTCCGGATACGTGCGCATGCTTTGTGCATGCTTTTAAGAAGGTTATGATCTCTCCCTGCTTAATGGAAAAATTCGGCGCCGACCTACTGTCGGTGAGCAGAGTTTTCCCCGACCAGGTATCTCCCACCAGCGGGTTACCGCCCCAGTCAGGACAAGCTCTTGAGCTCACGGCTGGTCACCCTGCATGTGTGGTAGTGTAGAACATGTTAATGTGTGTATAAGGGGGTGAGAATAGGACAAGGAAGAGAAAGGAAAGATCGCGCGTGGTCCGTGAACCGTTTGTTGGGCTCTGGCATTCGCCTGGCGTTGATCGGAGAAACTACGGAAAACTTCCAATCAGAGCAGCCGGCCGCTAGAATTCTCTTCCACCTAACGACCGAACTCGACCTAGCTATGTAGCCAGTATCAGAAAACCTGCCTCCCTCGGGACTCGAGCCTAGGTCCTCTAGGTGTGAGGCATTGCAGTGACGGATAGTCTCAGCCACGTCTTCCGGTAGCAATTGGCCACTGCGTTAATAATAGCGTGCGTCTATATGTCAAATCTCGTTGTGTTTTTCATTGTAAAATGTCAGCAAGTAAACAATTTAGGTGGGATTGTCTGTATTACGTCATGTTTGTGTTATTCTTAGAATATTATTAAACCGAAACAAGATACATAATAAGGTAAACCAATGAACAGCTGGTTTAAGGATTCAGCAAGTTCTTGAAACTGTTCTTAGTAAGTATGAAGAGTCAGTTATTCTTAGTTGCTATTGTGGTGTGCCTGGATCTAAAATTCGCTTTATGCTTTTTTCGGTAACACTGGCTTCAAAAATGGCATAAGAGAAAATATACCAGGTTGTAACTAGGATTAACTTAGAATATCAGTATCAAAATTTGTGTAATTACAATAAAAAACCTGACTTATTGGTTTTCTCTCTAATGCTTTTAACCCTTTTTTTGGCTTTTACTCACAAAGGCGAAAGAAATAGTTTAATTCTAAAGAAAATTCCTTAATAATTGCAAGTTATACATCAGTGTGAGCATTCGCAAACATTTGACTGAAGAAAAAAAAGTGAGCGGAAGAGAGAACGAAATCACGATGAAATAAGAGATTTCAATAGTTTGGTAGAGGTAAAAGCTGTCAGGAAGAAAGGTGGAAAACAAAAAGTATAGTTCAAGAAGGACATAATAAAGAGAAGGAAGATAAGTATAAAAAGATTGGATGGAACATTGAGGCAAAGAAGGAAATGACACGAAAAAATTTAAAGTTAAAGTTTTACACATTAGGGTATTTAAAGTCAGAATTGAGATGCAGAAAGTTTCTTATCCCATTTATTTTTAACGTGGTTCTTCGAAGTCCACTATATTTTCATGTTCTTCGTTTATTTTTTTTTTAGTTAAAATTGTGAAGAAACGGTTTACGCAATAAATGTTTAAAGCACAATAACGTAAAGGTCTTATATTGTGGTTTGGTCTTGAATAACCAGCATTACAAGCAAATACTCAAATACTTATTGAATCAGCCTCGTGACTAATCATTCTATAATCTCAATTAAGTTGTAAGTGGTGGTAATTTACATTATTTGAATTGAAATACAAAAGCTCCTGAAATTTACGTGCACTAAGAAAGAGAAGACATATTTGAATCAATATTTGAGTGATAATTATAAGCAGTGGACTGCCACAATCGCAGTAATGATACTTCCACATGTTAATCATAGCGGATAACGCATAGTGTCAATTTCACTTGTTAGTATAATGTAGTGCTTCCCATCGGAAGAGCATTGATAAATCAACGATTGTTGTTATTGAACATTAATTAATGTACGTCAGTATTAATTGATTATTCGATATCTTAAGATTACAATGAACCTCTTCAGTGACTCAAGGTTGAGACCACCGGGAAGCAATCTGTCCGAGAGCGCGTTTGAGACAATTTCTTATTCTTAAAGCAGTCACTTGGACGTCCTATTCATATTTTACAAAGAAAGAAAAAATAGGATAGCTGTACAATGAGATGAACATTTAACGTTTCATGATTATCAGCATTCTGATTCCATAGAATCACCACAAAACGTAGGCTTACCCTTCGTTTATTTTTTAATTAAAAATTGCAAAGAAACTGTTTACACAATAAAGCTTTTATAAACTTCCTGTCAAAAAATAGTCTTGAAAAGCATAAAACTGTATTGTTTGTTATTTGAAATAATCTTATTCAATTGTTTCACAGTAAAAGTGCTCTTTAAGTCTTGACACATTCGGTTATACGATAATAATCATGGCAAAACGTTTCTAGTTGTCTTGCCTCAAAAATATTATTATATTTTATATTATTACTATAAATATTATGATAAAAATTATTATAT